AGACTCCGTATCCGTATCCGCCAACGCCACCGATCCACCGATCCACGCGAATCCCTGCAGCCAGCGAAACGTAGGCATTGTCCAAGCTTTACTATATGTTTTACAACAATAACTATATAGGCTATAGTACCATCACCCATCATTCCCTGGATACAGTCCCCCTGGATATACCTCTCTTGGTGACCCCGATTCCGCTCTGCTCCCAAAACATAAATCTGGTCTGGCTTGTTTGTTGTGATGGCCGCTAAACTATAAAGCTGTAAAGTGTAAAGTGTAACCCGTACATATCCGACTCACTAATGCGGAAGCCGGGAAACAATAAGCAATGAACACTAAACACCAAAACCCGAACACTCCACCACACACACAACAACAACAACAAAAACAACAAACACTGGGGCAACCGGACACTCGAAACACACGACTAATATCGATTAATAGATGCAGATAGATGCAAAGAGATGCCCAGATGCAGTGACAAACACTTCCTCGTGTTTATGCGGAGCCCTGGATCGTGGATAGCTATGAATTCGAAATGGGAGAAACGAAATACCAAAGCCAAACCATTGTAGAGCTGTGCTGTAAATTAATACCCTAAGACTAGAGGCCAACAATTAGTCCAGTCTACACGAAATTTATCTAAAATATGGTGTCTTATAGTATTATCATTATTATCATTTATTAGTTTCTTTGCTATATCAAACCCTTGTGATATTTAAAGCTAAAACGTAGAGAAAATTGTATTTAGGCAAACAGAAAAGAGGGCAAATGACCAAGTGTACAAAAGGATATACGGACAGATGAACAAGCAGACAAATGAACAAGTGAACACAGGGACAAGTGGACCAAGGAATAAACAAACAGACGGACAAATGAACAAGTAAACAGACAGACAAAAGGATTCTTAATATACTAGAAATAATACTGACTAGGCATCCCTTAAGATAGATATTATATAGCAGAGGATCCCCTCTATTTAGTATTATAAATCGAAGGTGTAAACCAAACCCAACCATTTGGCGATGATGACTACAAATTCCCCATTTTAGTTACGTACTTGGCACACCTGCTATGTGTGTGCTCAGCTTAATATTATATTTATGTGATGTGTGCTTATGTGTATGTTTTTGCTTTGTTTAGTTTTTGTTTTAGTTTTAGTTTTTCGTTTTCTGTTTCTGTTTCTGTTTCGGTTTCGTTTTAGTTATAGTCAGATAGTCTTAGTTATATAGTTTTTAGTTTTGGTTGAGTCTAGCTTAGTTCGGTATGCAGCTGCGCTGTGCGGAGGGGCATGTATTGAATTGCAGCTCACAGTCGTAGCTATGTAGTTGCGATGATCCGATCCCCATTCCCCCTGTGGTTTTCATTTCAGCAACCGACAACCTTTGTTGATCATCATCGCACCGCTCTCGCTTTGTTTGCGTTGCATTGCATTGCGTTCCCTCTATTATTCTATTATTCAACTTCTATTCCAATTTCCATTTCTATTTTTTTGTTCATACTAATTTCTTTTTGCAGATATTATTTAAATGTAACAGAATACATAAGCAAAAGAGCGTTGTAATAATATCTATTGTTTATACAAAAAAAATATACAACCATCATCATAACAAGCTAAAGGCAAATAACCCAAAACCAAACTGAACCGAACCGATAACAATCTAAACAACAGCCGCTGAATCCGAACTAAAAACTAAACTTAAACTAATTCAAAAATAACACATAAATCAAAAGCAAACGATTATAACCCAATAGTAACCCGATAGTCCGATAATCTAAACCCAATAACCCGATTATAATCGATCAAGTGCGATACAGTAACAGAAAGCCACAAAGAAACACCTCTAACCCAGTGCACTTGCTCTGCCTGCTCCGCTGGGCAGTCAAAACTAATCGCCAATTCATATTTAAAATTAAGGTAACTAACCCCAGATTAGACTCCACACGATATTGTACCAAAAACCACTCTCGGCACCTCCTCATCATCATCTCATCATCTCATCATCTCATGCTCCAGCTCCAGCTCCATGCTCCACGCTCCATGCTCCAGCTCATGTTTCGTTTTCATTTGCCTGAAAAATATCCAGAACCAAATCCAGCCCCAGAAGCATCCTTTTCCACAAAGATCACGCTACCAAATCCACCCAACCACCTCCCCCAACAAGACTATGATATATATCATATAAAAATATATATATTTTATATATTTTCCCGACTCGGTGCCACTTGTTTACCTTTGTAACTACTAACCCCATTGCTCATTGAATTTTGAATATTTTACCTAGATTTTTGTACTAATTGCACTTTTCGAATGCTTACAGGCTCCACGGCACTGGGCTTTTACACGCCCATGAAGGCCTCACCAATGGACAGCCTCTTCCAGCTGGGCGTGACGCGGTACGCGCTTCCGGAGAGCAGCAGCAGCGGTAGCAGCAACGGTAGCAGCCACAGTCCCACCAGCAACAACAGCAGCAATGGGAGCAGCAGCCCGGCCGGAGGAGCAGCAGCGGGCGGCGGTCGTCTAACGTTTAATGGCAACGGCAGCCTCGTTGGCATCGGCGAGGGACTGATCAAGGACGAGGACGAGACGACGGCTGCCTGCAAGAAGGGCGCTGACGAGGATGACTACCATCTGACGGCGACGCCGGGCGCTGCGAGTGTTGTTTACAGCGAGGGTACACAGAAGACGGATCTGCTGTACTGAGTCCAGGTCCTGGATCCCGTGTACCCCCCATTCCCATACCCATTCCCAAAAATTCCCTAATGAAAAGCGTGCGCTTAGGTGAAAATATCGTCTGCGACTTCCTCGGTTGAGCGGAGGAGAACCAACGTAATGCAAGTGTGGCGAGATACGATAACACGATACCGTAACGATACGTATATATACACATAAATATAGATATTACCTGTAAGTTCGTAGGCCTAGTACCGAGATGATGTGTATGTGAACAACAACGGCACTGTATGTTTGTGCGTGTGTGTCTGTCTTCTTCTTTATATATATATATATACATGTGTGTTTTTTTTTCATAAATTTATATTATTAATATTATTATGAATAACTGTAATGTGTATTTACACACTGAATCGGCAACGAGCTAACGAACGAGCATTTACTCGTCGCTGCCCATTTGTATTTGTATTTGTATTCCATTTACGGCAACATAATCATGCGTATCCCTAAGAGCAACCAGGATCTAGCGCGGCCCCGGAGATCTGAGCTTGCTGCATCCTCCATTTCCATTTCTTTGTGACCCTTCCACGTTTCTTCCACACCCCAGAGCCCGAAAGCAGAAACAAAACGAAAAAAAACCGAAAGCTACAGCGATACAGACAGAAAGCGAAAGCGAAACCCCATCCGGAAGAAAGTAAACAAGAAAATTGTAACATTTGCCTCATAATTATTATACATACATTTAGCGCTTATTAAATATTTTTTACAATTGTATTCCGTAAATAAATATAATATACAACAACATTAAATTTATTGTGTTTGATTTAACCTAAAGCATCGAAGGAAACTGAATTTTAACGACGAAGACGAAAAAAAAATTTCCTCTTGTTGTTGTAAAAAAAAGTTGTTTGTTGTTGTTGTAGACCAAGTCCCGACTTCAACTTCGGCGTTTTCGGTGCAAATTCGCTCATTTCTGGATCCCATGCACCAGGCGAACAGAAGGCAGCAGCAAGCGACGCTGAACTGTTATACACTGTTATAAAAAGTATTGAGCGATCTGGCAACGCTGGTCATAAACTGGGCGAGTTGCCAGATCGACGAAAAGGGTGAGCGTTGCCAGACTGTTGCAACATTAGGGTTACCAGATCGATAAAAGGTGAGAGCTGCCAGATCGACAAAACCCGAGCGTTGCCAGATCGACGAAGAGGGTGGGCGTTGCCAGACAGATGCAACATCAGCGTTGCCAGATCGATAGAAGGTGAGAGTTGCCAGATCGAAAAAACCCGGGAGCTGCCAGATCAATTTGACATTTAAGTTGCCAGATCGGCGGAATTTGCGAGTTCCCAGATCAACTAAATAAGCGAGCTGCCAGATCGACACACTCGGTGTCACTTGTTTACCGTTGCAACTACTAGCCCCTTTGCTCATTGAATTTGAAATATTTCACCTAGATTTCTGTACTAAATGCGCTTTTCCAATGCTCCACGGCTTTTACACGTCCATGAAGACCTCACCAATGGACAGCCTCTTCCAGCTGCGCGGGACGCGGTACGCGCTGCCGGAGAGCATCACCAACGGTAGAAGCCGCAGTCCCATCAGCAACAACAGCAGCAGCCCGGCCGGTGGAGTTGCAGCGGGCGGCGGTCGTCGTCGTTAAGGCATCGGCAGCCTCGTTGGCATCGGCGAGGCACTGATCAAGAACGAGGACGAGGCGACGGCAGCCTTCAATGGGGGATGACTACCATTTGGCGGCGACGCAGGGCGCTGCCAGTGTTGTTTACAGTTAGGCTACAAAGAAGAAGAGGAAAAGCAACGTAATGTAAATTAGGAGATACGATAACACGATGCCGTAACGAAACGTATATATACACATAAATATAGATATTACCTGTAAGTTCGTAGTTCTAGTACCGAGATATTGTCGTTGCCGTCGGTGACGCTCATCAAGCAAAAAGCTCGGGAAAAGATGGCGGCGCACGTAAGAAAAAATTTCATAGCACCTGAGAGTGATGATGATCTAGCTTTATTGGAGAGCTTAGAGAAATTCGCTTTTATTTAGCTTACTCCACACCTCAGAGAAAAAAGCATTTCCCTTGCCATTTATAACAATAAGGCATCAACTTATCGTCTGCGTAAATTCGAACTGCAATTTGGAGGTAAAAATAATGTATTTTCTCTGTTATTTTACATATAAAATAATAAAATAAATGAAATAATAACCTAGCTATAAATATTGTATCGATATATGCTGAGTTGGTTACCGATATATATTTCAGAAAACTATCGATGTATCGATATTTGTGTACATTTTTGTTAGCCCCACATCCTGGTCACACTGCTAACAGTTTTGTGATTGTGTCAAAAATACAGGGGTTTTTGTTGCATTTGCAATTTAATCCGATAATATAAAGTGTGGAGTTATGCGAGAGACGGCGTTGCAAGCGACCAGCCACCAGAGCGGCCACACGTGTATGTGTTGGGGCGGTACGGGCGCCAAAAAGCGTACTACTAACCTTTAGTTGACATTGAAATGTACCCGCTTAGATGAATGTATGTGTGTGTGTGTGAGTGAGTGCGTCTCAGTGTGCGTGTGTGTGATTGCAAAGGAAGATGGGATGGATGAAGGAAAGAGAGGGCGAAAGCAAATCGAACCTGCTGCACAGCGCAGCACATCAACACCCCTCTCTCTCTCTCTTTCTAACCGTGTGTGTGCTTGCCCTCGTCTGTCTGTGTGCGTGCGTGGGTGAGGAAAACCAAAACACAACTCCCAGCGAGCAACAACAACAATGGCTAAACGGCAAGTGATAAGCGGAATGGCATAAAATGCGTGGCGATGCAACAACAATCGTTCCGATGAAATACAATCAAAACAAACCGTTGTAGTTGTGTAATCGCCCCGTTCATCCGACCGTCGTTGTTGTTGTCGGTGTCCATGTCCGTGTCTCAGACTCTGTGCCTGTGCTTGCGTGTGTGTGTGTGTGTGTTAATTCTATTATTTTTGATTTAATTTCTGTTACTCTGCCAGTTACTCAAATCGATCTGTCTTCTGTTGTAGTTGGCATTCGTTATTAATTAAATCAGCTGCGGCATCGGAATCGGAATAGGAGCAGTGACGAGAGAGAGAGAAAGAAAGAGCGCGCGAGAGCGGCGCCAATAGTGTGCCGTCGTCTTCCCATTTCCACTTCAAATTTCAATTCCAATTCCAATTCAAAAAAATCCACCGTCGAGCAGCGGGCGGGCAGCCACGAAAGTTAACTTAACCGATACAGGCCACATCAAACCGGAGCACCAGCACCGCGGCAGCAGCAACAGCAACAGCAGCAGCAGCGGCGGCGTCACTTGGTAATTAAAAGGAAAGACCGAAAGTCGGCAAGTGGACAAGTCGGCAGAATCTCTCAGTCGCAGAGATTCACTCGCGCGCCGCACGTCCGTTCCTTCTCCTCCGTTCGTTATAAAAATAGCAACGCCTTAAACGATCGCTCGCATCGCATCGCATCAGAATCGGAATCAGAATCAGAATCAGCCGCCATCCCATCACATCGTCATCAAGTAGCGGATCTTGATTCAGATTGAGATAATCATATAATCATATAATCCTTGTATTGACAGCCTAAACTTTATCTTAAACATTTCCCCCAAACAAATATAACCCGGAAATTGATTTAACAAACTTGAAAGGCATGTTATTGTAAAAATGTCAATTCAATTTGATCTCATCTTTAGGTCTTGGAATATCAGAAAGTTAACTCGTAAACCTGCGGCTTATGACCGTTTTCTTATTGAATTTTATCTTGAAAATCTTTGTTTCCCATCTTATCAATAGATCTAGAATAGATAGTTTAGTAGCTTGCATTATAATGATATATAAAAACATTATACCTAAGTTTTAGCTTGATCCACTCATTAGTTCCTGTTTTTTTTTAATTTTGTTTGAATATCCCTCTAGTCAGAAGCTTGAAAAGCAGTGAAGGAGTCATTTCCGACCCTATAAGTCATATATATTCTTGATCAGCATCGAAAACTGAATCGATCTAGCCATCTCCGAGCGAAAAAAAACATTTTTAATTTTTTTTTAAATTTTATAAGGGGTTACATCGTTAAAATTGTCAAAAAAAAATCGAAAAAATTGTAACTTTTTAATATTTTAAATGAAGTATGCAGATTTATTAGCCTAACAAAAACTAACATAGGAATGTTTTCCGATTTGAAATTAATGCTTGTTTGGCTTAGTTATGAAATTTTTAAATATTGAAATATCGAAAAAAATTCATATAAAAATAGCTATAAAATTCGCATTTTTTAAATACTTTAACCTACTTTTTCCAGAAATCTCAGAGGTTTCTTCATAGACTACACTTGCAATTATGTTTAATCAAAAACCTCGACTTTTAGCTAAGTTAAACTCTAATAGCAGCAAAAATCAAGACATTAGATATTATTAGATAAAAACCTGTTTCGATCTCTTATTCCTGTTTAAATACTGTTCTTTAATTAATAGAACTCTGTTTTTCCCGCACAGATATTGGCCTCTCTTTGCTTGGAAGCCGATCGCAGTAACCGGCAACATTTCACTGGATCTAATGGCCAAGGACGAGGAGGATGATCTGCTGCCCGATAAGGATGCCGCCAAGGGCTTCTACGCCAAGTATGAGCCCAAGGAGATATTGGGCAGGTGAGAGGAGCAAGCGGCAGTAAAAGCTTACACAATACACACTGAGGCAGCTCTTCAGCTGCGGTGGTCCGATACCCGCTTAATGCTACGCTTGCAGTAATGTAAGCTTTGTTTATGGCTCTGCATTTTGGGGCCAATGGTGTGGTGCCAGTGAGTCAGCCTACCAAGAAGCACTTCACATGGCATACGTGTGCGGCGCCTCATTTCCGCCTGAGCAATGGGAATCGGTATGGGAATGGAGCGGCGCCTGGTTGCCGGCTACCGCTCCTCCTTCTCCTCATCTGACTGTGTCATTGCCTCGATTACATCCTCCATAAATTCGACTTTACCAGCGGGAACTAAGCAAATAAGAAGACTAAGCGAAAAACAAGGGCAATTACAACTATATTACAGCGATTAGATAAATCATACGATGATCATGCCAGAGCCAAGTGATCCAGCAGCTGTTTTTGTTTGATCTTGCAGGGGCATCAGCTCGACCGTGCGCCGGTGCATCGAGAAGGAGACGGGCAAGGAGTTCGCCGCCAAGATCATCGACCTGGGCGCCACCACGGAAGCGGGCGAGACGAATCCATATCATATGCTCGAAGCAACCAGACAAGAAATCTCAATACTGCGCCAGGTCATGGGCCATCCCTACATAAGTGAGTGCCAGTTCTCTCCTCCTCTCCTTAGACTCTCTTGCTCAATTCCCTATTTATTTTCAGTTGATCTGCAGGACGTGTTTGAGTCAGATGCATTTGTTTTCCTGGTATTTGAGCTCTGTCCTAAAGGCGAGCTCTTTGACTATCTGACCTCTGTGGTGACGCTGTCAGAGAAGAAGACACGCACTATTATGCGCCAGATCTTCGAGGGCGTCGAGTATATCCACGCCAAGAATATCGTTCATCGCGACCTTAAGCCCGAGAACATCTTGCTCGACGAGAATCACAATGTAAAGATCACGGACTTTGGCTTCGCCAGGCAGCTGCAGGAAGGCGAGAAACTTACAGGTGAGCAATGCTGCTGTCTAATCAGATCTGCTTAACTAAAACCACTTTCATTTTCGGTGCAGATCTGTGCGGAACGCCGGGCTACTTGGCGCCGGAGACACTCAAGTGTAACATGTTCGAGGGATCGCCTGGCTACTCCCAGGAAGTTGATATGTAAGAAATATTTAGGTTGAATCGATAGAAACATTCCTGGTGGTTAGGAATCAGCCTTGGAAGGGGGGAAAACGACCTAACAAGGGGTTAAATTACTTCCTTGAAATAAATGTAAACATGGCTTGTTTATAATTTTTAACTACGTTCATCAGATTGTTGATTTGGTTGCATTTTTTCAAATGAGTCACTAGCTTGTCCATTTAATCTGAAACCTGATGAGTTCCGATATCGTCAACTATTTTTTCTTTTGCTTTAATTTATTTATTTGCTGTGAAAGCTTCCCATTGGGATCCCCATTTCATTGGTTCAGCAATAAATACCTTACAAATGTAGAAGTAGATTCCCACTTGGATCTGCTTTCTTTGGGTTCAGCAAATAAAATTGATACCCTTTCTTATTTCGCACTTTCAGATGGGCCTGCGGCGTTATTATGTTCACGCTGCTTGTCGGCTGTCCACCCTTCTGGCACCGCAAGCAGATGGTCATGCTGCGGAATATCATGGAGGGCAAGTACAGCTTCACCTCGCCCGAGTGGGCAGATATTTCAGGTGAGCCCCGTCCCACTGTTCTTTCAACCTTAAGAAGACAATTATTAATCGATATTGCTTGCAGAGGATCCCAAGGATCTGATACGCAAATGTCTAGTCGTTGATCCTGCGCAACGTATCACCGTCAAGGAAGTATTAAGACATCCATTCTTCAACCAAATGGTAAGTGCCGGAAGTACTGGCGGCTGCCGAAGCACGATACCCAACACCACAACCACCTCTAGCACCTCTGCGGGAGGAAAGTCTGTTCAAATTCAAGTCGCGTACTACTACTACTACTACGTCCTAGGCCCAGTAGCAGTCTCTCTAGTCCTTTCGGGGCCCTGTTCATATAGAATCTAGGTTTCTAGACGTAGCCTGGATCTGGGGCTCTCGTACACACAATAAACCGAACCAAACCAATCCACAACCTCCCTGCAAATGTCTCTAAACCCACCAAACACAACACACTCTGATGGAAAGAACAATACACCTGTGACTCACACCCACTCACAACAGCCTAATATTAACTGCTTATTCCTACCGTGTTACTGCCTATTTAAATACGATTATATTATGATTTATGTTTTGGTTAGGATAAGACATAAGCCCCCGTAGTTAAACCAACTCAACTGTGAGCTCTCTCAGAGGATCCACATCCACCCGAGTCTATTTTTAGTTTTGCCCTTCCTTTCGGGTTGTTTAAGCATTACGCCTCTCTTCCGTTTGCTATTAATAGTGTTGTGCGTTAATATTAATTTTACGATTACTATTTTTTATTATACCAAACCATTTTCTTTCTTCTTTTCCTTACATATACGAAAACGATCAAAAAATATATATCAAAAATTGATACAATTAATTTAAAAAACGAATACCGAAACGAACGATAACAAACATTTTCGATCGCTCCGTAAACTGATACTGATACCGATACCGATACCGCGATACATTCGCAATCGATAGCTGTTCGAGCAGAACATTGATGGCCTCAAGCGCAGCCTGTCGACCAAGTCCCGGCGTATGAGTCGCATCACTGAGATCGCACTGGTAACGAACTGTTCCCGGACTAACCCAACCCCTAAGCCCTCTGTCTGTATCTCTCTCTCTCTATCTTCCTATATCTCTCTCTCACTCACTCTCTGTGCTGTGTGTGTGTCTCCGTTTATCGGAGCCATAATCGCTGTAATAACGATAAACCCCACGATCGATGATCGATGATAACCGATGGGACCGGCAGCTCCAACTCAACTCATGTCCATGCAACGCTGCCGGGCCCCCAGCATCCGTTCGTGTCTATGTTCCGTTGCATTATGTTCTGTTTCGTTATGTGCGCCGATCTACTAGCCTCTTAACCCAGCTATATTCAAAATATATATATATATACACAACATAGTGCATATCAATCGTATACTATATATACCACTAAGTATTATATATGTATATATGAAGCATTGAGCTTTAATAACTTCTAACTGACAAAACAAACCTATGCTTCGTTTTTTTGCATCCGATTTTTGTTTTGTTTTTTTGCCTGACGATAATTATTGCGATTGCGCGACGATAATGATGATGATCGAGATGATAATGATGATGCCCATGCCCCATGATGATAACCAAATCCCATCTAAATACCTCTAATCCCATTTCGTTGTACTTGATGTTCGTTCGATCGTTGTTGTTTGTAGTTCGTTTGCCCCTCCTTTTCCCCCCTACTTATTATACACATATATATATGTTTTGTACAAAAATCGACCGATTGCCGATAACTAAAACCGATAACACGTGTGTGTGTGTGCAGCCATTCGATTCATAATCCGTCGTTAAGTTAATCTCTGTGTCTGCATGCCAAGCAATAAGCAGGGTACCCACTTCCCAGTCCGCAGATTTTCCAAAAACAAAACCAAAACCTTTCCCCGAAATCCATGTTCCATGCATGAGCAAGTGCATTGACCAATAGAAGATGAAGTAAACAAAAGTAAGGCAGTGTGAGATATGAGGATGGAGCCCCTATACCTTTAGAATTTCTCAAAGTTTAGTTTCAGTTCGAAGAAAACCTTCAAAGAATCGAAAGCACCCAAAGAGGCTCAAAGAATCGGTCTTCTAACATTCAATAGTAATCAAAATCTTGAAGAAATAACCAAGGTATAGGGGTGCCCTAAGGATAAACCCCAAACAAGGTGCATATAAGTCCTAGGATGCAGATATTAATACATATATCGTTAAGGTCTATACCCAAGTCTAGTTCTTAAGTCGAGGAGTTCTTCTAAGTAAGCGGCTTAGCTGATAATGATTCCCGTCTATATATAATATCCCGTTTATAACTGATAACCAACATTTTAATTTCTTCCGCGCCAACACTCTGCTGCTGCCTCTGCATCTGCCTTTGCCTATGCCGAACTCGAATCCGAACCCCTCTCGTTATCCTTGGCTATCCGCTACGATTCCCGTATCCAAATTGCGTTCGCCAGGTGCTAATGGGTGATCGCCGGCATCCGCATCTGCATCCACCGCCGCCGGTCGTCACTGCCGGCCCCTCGAGTCGCTACTCCCTGGCGGGCTCCTCATCGATGGCCCTAAATACTGGTTACTTGTACTGTGCGCCGCAGAGCTCGTATTCCTCAAACCGGATGCGCGATGGGCCACTGGACGATGCCTGTCACTCTGCCTCGATGGTCAACTCCTGCGCCTCAGCATCCTCCGCCTCTGCCAGCACATCTGCAAATGCATCCGCCTCTTACAAAACGCTTACGGCGACGGTCTACTATCAGCAGCAGCCCCAGCAGCAGCAGCAGCAGCATCAGCAACAGCAGTTCCTGCAGTCTCAGCAACAGCAACAGGCACAGGCAATGGCACAGGCGCAGCAGCAGCAGCAGCAGCAATCCCACCACCAGCAGACACCACAACTGCATCCACATCCCCATACGCAAAAATCGCAGACGCAGGTGCAGCCAGGTGGCGATGTCGATGCAGATGCCAATGGCAATGGCTTCGAAAGTGCAGCCACTGTTGGCAAGCACTTGGTCTATGCATCACTCCCAGTGCAGGCAGGTTTTCCTTTGATATTCTTTGCTTTTCTATTCATTACAAGTGTCCTGCAGGACAGTGTCAGGAAATGCCAGGGAAACGAATTTCAGAAAGTACAAGAACCAGTCTTAATTATATTACATTTGTAATGTTCATATAAGGAAGAATCATATTAAATATTTAAATAATTTTCGATTTTAACAAAGACTTTACTTTAATGTCTGTATTTTTCTTAAGTTTGATTTATATAGAATTCGTTTCTTGTATTTTCGTTTCTTTGGTGTTTCTTGACAGCCACCTTGCGGGCTCTATATAGTTTTATTTAGTTGCCACACGTATGATTTAATGATCACTGATTATCGTTTAATTTCTAGTGCTTTTAGTTGATTCGATTAGAGCATAGCAAGTCACCACATTCATTTAAGAGTCAAGCTGCACTCGACATTATCTCTCCCTCTCTATCTCTCTATTTCTGTCTCGCTCATATTGGACATGTGTCCAAGATCTTGGATTATAAATCCATGTCCGGTTCGTGGTCCAAACCCCACCGCTTTCCCATCACCCATCCCAACATCCATACATCCGCCTTTTGATTAGACCTAAGACCCAAAATTATTCAACTGCACTACAACACGTATTACTTTATTATTACTTAACTATTATTGTATCTCCTTATAGCTGACACTTTGTCATATCATAGCGAGTAAACACAATGTTTGTATTATATGCACCTTTCTCTAGTACATATCTCTCGGGTGAACTGGATGATATTTACAAGAACTGTATGTAGTTGACTTGCTTTCGCCGTATAAGTGTAGTATTATTTGTAGCTTTAGATACCATCTAGATGGGTTTGGCTCATCTATCTTTTACTCTCTCTATCACTATGCACTGTCTGTTGTCCAGGATCTAACCCAAAAAACTAACTGCATGCCAGTCCTAGTTAAGACTAATCCCAAGGCACATCCCACATACTATACCCACAATGTACATATATAGATAACACCCAAAGAAATGCGCTTCAAAATACGATAAGGTTCAAGGTTTTCGAAGATGATTAGCTGCATTTCTTTGGGTGCATCTGTCATATGTTATCTGTTATCTCTGTAATTGTATCTACAATATTATAAAAATAACGCAAAAATCGATTCACTGACGGATTATTTTATTTAATTTCTCCTCTGTTGATGATGTTAAACACGTTTTGTTTGTGTGTCATGTTCTCTATATTGTCAGAGTCTCAACGCCCTTATAAGATGTGTGTCTATAAGTCGGTGTTGTGGAGACTCCCTTGTGAGTAAACCAAGTCAAACTGAGATAGATTTGCATACAGTATTTATATTATTATTATTATTACTTTTATATCCATCCATCCACCATGCCCACACATATATCTACTATATCTACTTGTGTCAATGTGATCGAATTACTCCTCGTGTATCCGCATTATTCCATAGTTGGTAATCCGTAAAATAGCGTGAATGTTTTGTGTCAATCTCACCTTGTAATTACCCCAATTAACCCCTGAATAACTAATATATACGCACACACCCGATCTTTGGTTTGCTTGGGAGTTACTACCAGTTAACCGCCAGTTAAAAAGTTAACGCTCACCCATCGAAAACTAACTCCACCTTTCAAACCCTAACTACCAGACTAACATCTCGGGCATTTGAAAAAACACAATCCATTGCTGTCCCCCAATGCCTCTGATCTCTGTTTTCTTGTTCTTGCTGTATTCTTGTTCCGGTTGTGGTCCTTGATCTAAGGATTAACCATTAATGCCATTAAATCGCTAACTGCTAATTGCTAACTCAGATACAACAAATGAAAGCTAACCTCCCTGTTAACGCTAACCCGTGGCGTGTGCACCTAACCAACACAAAGCCAAACAATAATAATAATAAAAAAAAGAGAATAAAAAAAAAACAGTAAAGATATATCGATGAGAAAAATAACAAGACCCAACTAATCCCAATGCATCAACTCTTGCTCCGTTTCCTTTTCTCACGTTTAGCTGCGGAAACAGAGTCGCTTCAATGCGCGCAAAAAGTTCCAATTTGCCATACTCGTGATACGGGCCGTCATCCGGATACGGCGCCTGCGCTACACCGCCGAGCCGCTGCACGTTGAGGAGGCTATCCGGGATCCGTATCGCGTCAAGGTTCTACGCAAGGTGAGTATCAGGCGCGAAGGACATCGCACAACCGGAGTCATCTACATCTTATTTCTATCTTATACGAGTTGTACTCACTCAGATAACTCCAACTTATCCATTCTTCATTTCAGGTCATCGATGGCTGTGCCTTCCGTGTCTATGGACATTGGGTGAAGAAGGGCGAGGGCCAGAATCGTGCCGCCCTCTTCGAGAATACTCCGCGCACCGAGCTCCACGCGCTCTACATCAATAATCTCAGCCGATAGGAGGCGGGAGCCGGTGGCCTGGTCGCTGAGGAGCAGCCCAACCAGTACACCAGACAAGGACACCTAAAATGAAGGAGGAAATAAAACGAATTAGCAAAAGTTACTAAAGAAGCACACACAAAACAGGAAATTGCAATTGCTGCTGTGTCCCACAAAGACGAATAGAAAGAAGAAGGAGAGACACCAAAAAGGATTCGGGACTCCAACTAGGAGGGATTCGACTCGTTCTGGGTGTGTTAAACCCAGGCCAGGATCAAAAACATACTATACATTTATAGACATATGTTTAGAGGTTCTCCCCACGCCTCAGATTTGTCCTTGTGATTTCGTTTAGACCTTTTACTTCTTTCGAAATAATCTTCAGATTTATTATTTTTTTGTTTTTTTTTATGATGCAAGCTTATCGCTCATCAATTATATACATAAATACATATTATACATATAGAGAGCTATGTATTACCCAAATGAGGCCAGAACGAGCCGAATCCGTATCCGAATCCGAGTCCGAATTAGCCAAGGCACTAAACAGATCCCACTTGGCCCACTATCCAAGCCCAACTACACCCACACGAGCAAGCCTACATGCATATGTATTTTCTGTTAATGATTCTATTAAATTATTTAATTGTATAGCTAAGCGTTTACATTTTAATTGTTATGTTGTAGTATACACAATAAATAAAAACAAAAACAAACAAAAAAAAAAGTAGGTGTAGAGGGAAGGAAGAAAGACCCCCGCAAAGGACTCAATCCTAACCTAGATGTGCTTGTTGCAGTCATAGGCCCGCTCACAGCACTCGGGGAAGCTGCGATTGGTGTTCACAAAGTCACGCTGCTTGCATCCCTTGGGTGGGGCCACGGCCCTGCAGGTCTTGATGGTCACATGGCCATCGGAATCACAGGTGGCACCGGCACAGGGATGGTCCGGCAGCTTGCCGCTCTGGCCAGGCGACAATACAGTGTTGGCGTCCAGCACACACTTGCCGGGATGTGCTGCAAAGAGTTATAAGGATATCCTCGCTATAGATATTCCTTGAAACTGAAGGATAGCTTAAGCTCACCATCATTGGTCAGCTTGACCCGGGCCACGGCAGCCTGGGCGCTATTGTGTCCACCCAGGATAACCAGGACCAGGCAGGCGGCGAGGAGAGCAGCGGTGACGTTGAAGCGAGACATCTTGATGTTGATTTCGAGAAGGAGGATTAGGAAGACTGGAAGAACCGATGCTGATTTCGAAGTGATCGATAAGGCTGCTGGTCCGCAAGTGCTGCCGTTGTGGCTCCAGCGACAATGTTTTATACGCTGCCGGGGGCGACGGTTATCAGAGAAGGCAAAGCACCAGGGCACCGGCTTATCCGCGACAGCAACGCTTGACGGCTTGACCTTGTCGAAGCGATCCTCCGGCACCGCCCTGGCTTCCCGGCACCCCGGTGCTCCTCCGGAGATCTCCGGTTCCTCGGCTCCAGCTGCCTGTTTGGCCACTTTTGTTGCTATTTCTTGTTTTATTGTCGGATTTTTTTTTATTTACTTCCCACCGGCTCTGGGGTTCATTGAGTATTTAATTACAAGTTCACACACACACACACACGGCGCTCGTCTTGATTAGCTTTTTAATTATTAATGCACAACACATACGCATGCGCGACGGAATTTTATACCCTTGCAGGGTATCATAATTATGGTCAGAAGTTTGCAAAACCCAGTCAAGGAGTCATTTCCGATATATTTCATATATGTACATACATATATATCTTGAGTTTAAAATATTATAATTTGTTTGCACTTATTAAATCAATATTTTTAGATATGATTTGTTTTAAGAAAATCGGAGTACTATATATCTTAATATAGCTTTCAGAGAAACGGTTGTTAAAGTATCTATGACCAGTAAGTAACTATGAACAATAAGTAACAACGATCAATAATTAACTATGATCAGGAAGTATCTATGTCCAGTAAGTAACTATGATCAATAAATATCAATGAACATCAAGTAAATCTAAACAGTAAGTATCCATGAACATTAAGAAACTATGAGCAGTAGTTAACTCTGAACAGTAAGTACCTATGACTTGTAAGTAACTTTGAACAGTATGTAACTCTGAAGAGTAAGTATCTATGACTTGTAAGTAACTTTGATCAGTAAGTATCTATGGCCGGTAAGTAGTATGTATGATCAGTGAATAACTTTGAACACTTGTAAACAATGACTTGCAACTTTTGTAACACAACACATATCTGAGACCTGGCCGGCAGCAGTCACTTCGCTCCGGGGATGTTAGAACAAGTTGAGAATCATAAGTTCAGATGTGGGAGATTTGTTTTGAAACAAATTTAAGCTATTTCAATGAAACTATGGACTTATTCTTTTATGTTATTTTACTAGCATATAAGTCGAGGCATGGCAAATCGGTGGGCTATATATATACATATATATAGCTGCCATAGGAACGATCGGACAACTTTAAGAAAAAAAAACTATGATCACCAATTTACTATGTGCAGTAACTATCTATGACTAGTAAGTAACTCTGAACAGGAAGTATCTATGACCAGTAAGTAACTCTGAACAGCAAGTATCTGTGACCAGCAACTAATTATGATCAATAATTAACTATGATCAGTAAGTAACTCTGAAGAGTAAGTAACTCTGAAGAGTAAGTATCTATAACCAGTAAGTATCAATGAACATTAAGTAACTTTGATCAGTAATTAACTATGACCAGTAAGTATCTATGATCAGTTACTAACTTTGAACATTAGTAAACAATGACTTGCAACTTTTGTAACACAACACATATCTGAGACCTGGCCGGCAGCAGTCACTTCGTTCCGGGGATGTTAGAACAATTTGGGAATCATATGTTTAGATGTGCGACATTTGTTTTAAAACAAATTTAAGCTATTTCAATGAAACTATGGAGTTATTCTTTTATGTAATTTACTAGCATATAAGTCGAAGCATGGCAAATCGGTGGACTATATATATATATTTATATATATATGATCAGTAAGTAACTCTGAACAGTAAGTATCTGTAGTGAGTAATAAACTATAATCAGTAATTAACTATGATCAGTAATTATCTATGATCAGTAAGTATCTATGACCACTAAGTATCAATGAACATTAAGTAACTCTGAACAGTAAGTATCTATGACCAGTGAGTATCTTTTAACAGATAGTATCTATTACCAGTAAGTACTATGATCATTAAGCATCTATGACCAGTATGTATGTATGTATGTATGATCAGTGACTAACTTTGAACACTAGTAAACAATGACTTGCACTTTTTGTAACACAACACATATCTGAGACGTGGCCGGCAGCAGTCACTTCGTTCCGGGGATGTTAGAACAAGTTGAGAATCATAAGTTCAGATGTGCGAGATTTTTTTTGAAACAAATATAAGCTATTTCAATGAAACTATGGAGGTATTCTTGTATGTAATTTTACTAGTATATAAGTCGGAGCATGGCGGATCGGTGGACTATATATATAGATATATATATATATATATAGCTACCATAGGGCCGATCGGAAAATTGTAAGAAAAAAGTATTATAACTTTTCCAGTTTTCATCAGATTTTGATCAAATTTAATATATAGCCATTATATATTAATCTAGAATTTTGGGTAAAATTACTACGGACTACTATATCATATAGCTGCGATACAAAGATCGTTAAAAATAGATGAAATCAAAGCAATACTTTATTGCTTTTTAACATAAATATATATAATTTATATTGTATTGCCCCTAGGGATAGAATTAATCTGTATGGGTATACAAACTTCGGCTTGCCGAAATTAGCTTTTTTTCTTGTTATATAATAATTTATATCCAATTCAATTTTTAAAAATCCATAATTCAGCCAAAATATTGCAATAATAATCCCCTGATATAATAATTAATATTTGTCTTAGTTATGATTGATTTCAATTTCTGATCAATCGAAGGGTATATAAACTTCGACTTTTCCACGCTAGCTCTTCTTCTTGTTATTATTATTATTCTTAGTTTATTTTTTTTGTGACAGAGGGAAGCTTATCACGTTTTCTGTTTACTGGCGCCTGTTTGATTTGTTTTTATTTTTTGGGAATTTTCTTGTTTTTCGGCGTGGAATTCCTGAGAGGAGAGGAGCTTGCCCTGGGACTTGGTCTTGACTCATCATCACGAGGGCACGCAGTACCAATTTGCACTTTCACCGGCACCGGACAGCAACGACGACGACGACGGTTCTTAACCCCTCAGGGAGCGAAAAGCCCCTCGTAAAAATAACGCATAAAAAATCAGCGAACAATTTATAAATAATATTATATTATTGATAAATATCCGTGTTTATTTACTGTGACACCTCAGAGGTCAGCCACCCGGGACCTCTGCTTTACTAAATGCTTAAAATATATAGAAACAAGTGGTTTCTAAATAAAAAAAAAATTTAAGATACTAATGAAAAAAGAAGTTTGAGTATTTATCTTTTCAGATAAATCTTTAGGTATTTGAACTAATAATTTATATAATGTGAATCCTTTATCCCAATTTAAAAAAGGATTTTGTGTGGCTTTAAACGCAAGTCTCGAATTATGTGGATTACACACCGAGCTAGCACAAAAGCAAATAATATAAATATAGGTCACAAAATACCAACCAAAACAATAACAATTTTATATTTATACATGAACGAAAACGAACGAAAAGCCCAGCTATTATTGCGATAATCTTTCAGTCCACCCGAAAGGCATCCATTTCAAACATTGCTCATGTTTATAATTTATAAAAACAAGTTAGAAAATGGTTGAACCTTACAAAGAAAGACATTATTTAGACCTATAAATAAAACCAAAAGGGGCATTGCTCCTTTTAAAACATTACTATTTTTATTTTTGTAATCATTTTTGCTATTGAAGCTTGAGTTAAATGAGATTATGTTTTAATTTCTCTTTTTTCTTGCATTCATCTTTTCTTTTTCAACTATTTTACACGTGATGATAGACTATATTGCGCTTAGTGAACCTACATGCACTCCTATATTTAATTTATTTAAATATATATATATTTATATATATATTTATGTATATTCTTGTCAACATAATTTCTTCGGCTTTCAACTTACTAATTAATAAAAGGACTTGTACAAATCCGGCCACCGAACCCATAAGATCAGAAGCCAGACAATAAAATACGAAATACGAAATACGAAATACGAAGACAAATACAGAAATACTAAACACGAAGATCGAAGAAGACGTCGGAACTTTGTGGACATTCCGAGGACATTAAGGTAAGAGAGAGCGAGATATCAAATTGAGATTCTGGAGACAATGGCTCCGAATTCGAGTACGACCGAAGGGCACCAGGTATGATTCCGGGTGGAATGCGGCATAAGAGATTCACAGATTCGATCAACCAACAACATGGCGTTCTGGTTGCGACTAAACGCCCGCATAGAGCGGCAGCTTGGCGGTGTCGACCTTCTCCTCCACCTTAAACGATGGGAACAGGCCGCCCTGATTGGTGCGGGTATTCTTCCCCTTGGAGTTGCCGTCCCAATGGTTGCCAGCCACCGAGACGAGGTCTCCGACCCGCAGTTGCAGGTCCTCGTGCGTACGCGGCTTGTGTGCAATGACGACGCGACGATTGTGCGCATTCTGGCCGCCATAGTAATAGATGTCGTCCAGCGACTTGAAGCGGTACGCTGCATCCGGGTACAGCGTTTGCATAATCTCATAGGCGACACGACAGACCTGCGACGAGAATGTGCACACAAGATGGTCGGACATCGACAGCAAATGGATGTCCAGAATGATGCCATTCAGCGCGGTGTCAGTGTATCGCGTGGACACGGACGCCATGCGTGCCACCTCCGGATCGCCGATGATATGGTATTGCGGATACTTTCGACGTGCCTCTTCAATCACCTGCGCATCGTCCGAGGCGAGGAAGATGCGCCGAACCACGCTGCTGCCGTTCACTTCCAGCGTGCGATAGTAGTCCTCCACATGGGTCATATACTCCTCGACGCTGTGGCAGGCCGCCTCTGTTCCCACTTTGTCCGTTCGACGCACATGGACCCTGCAATGCAAAATGATGAAAAGCATTTCCAGCGGATTCTTTTGCTACTAATACTTACCCCACAATGGGACGCTCCCATCCCAGGTTACGCATTCCCGCGACGAGGAAATCACGCGTTGGCGCCTGTGGCCGCAGCAAATACTTGAGAAACTGTCCCACCCACCAGACGATGGGATCACCGTGGAGACGCTTGAGGCGCGGCGCCAGATCCTCGGGAACAGCGAGCGGCAGGTACGGGGGTCTCGGCATCAGCGAGTCAATAATGGGCAGCACCAGCACCTGGGTGTTGGGCTTACCAGGCCAATTGTATGTATTGGCCGTGCCGGCGTCGTGGCAGCTGTTGGACACCGGCTGGAATACCTCCTCCCAACCGCCTTTGTGATATCGCCAGCCGCGTGACTTTAGGATAAGCGTGCGCTCTGTGGCATAGGCCACAATGAAGCAGTATACCACATGGTGCAGCTGACAGCCGTAGCCACAGCCCTGAATAATAATAATGGGAAATAAAGAATTAATCAGTAATTAGGTTATAATATATACGTATAATAACAGTTTTCTGCAAGTTCTCAATGAAAGAGTGTAAGATACTTAACGGCAAAGGGTTTCTTGGGGAGCAGCAAACGCAGAAACGATTAATAATTAATTGTAATTAAGTATTAACATATACTTCTCAACGCCAAGTTCACAAAAGCCACGATAGGCCATAAAATAAATGATTAATGCGCGGCATTAAGCGGACAAGTTTCATGGCTAATCTGTGCGGCAAACACGACGACTCGTCACTTCCTAGGAATTCCAATACACTTGCTCAAGTATATTCCACTTCACATAAGGCTTGAGACACATATAGAGACATGCATATATCGTACTTGATCCGATCCGATTATCAAGACACTTCCTGAATTGGAGGAACCCACCTTGTTGAGCTTGCAGACTAGCTTTCGTGCATTCTGGCAGTCACTGGGATTCTGTAGATGATGCAAACGGCGCTGCACCAGATCACTAAGGTCGCGCGCCTCCTTGTGACGCCAGGCCTCGTAGCCATCGGACTGACGCATCCGCTCCATATCGCTTAGCAGCGATCGCTTGTGCTCGGCTCCCTGCAGCAGCACCTGATTGATGGACTCCTCCAGATCCGCGGCATTTGCATGACCGCCGGCCACTGCCTTGCGCACTTTGCCCAGTTCGCTGCTGAAGAAATTCCAGATCTCACCAATGTTTGTCTGGATGCGACGGCGCGTGAACTCGTACTCCAGGCTGGGCTCACCGCCGATGCCACCAAACTCGCCATGTTCAGCCTCCATCAGATCGTTGCCAGCTGCCACTGCCTCGGCCACATTATTCCAACCGCGAAGATCGGCGGGCGCCGATTCGAACATGGCCTCTGGCTCCGGACCGACAGCATCCGCTGCCATTTTCGGGTTGAGAGCATCGTTCTCCAGCCTCTGCACCAGTTTCAAAGCGCTCTGCTTGTCCAGTTGGTCACTGAAAATAAACAAAAAGAGAGGGGAGAATGCAATCAATGGGGAGTAATCTGTGTGTGGCGTGTAGTGAGCGAAGCAAAGCTCTTTATTGCGTGTAATCTCTGGTTAACGTGTATGCATAATTAGGCTGACCGATGCCGATGCCGATGCCAATGACAGATCGTCACAGATCGCAGGCGGCGATGGCAATCAGAATAATAGCACTGCCTGACAACATATGCTTTCTGACACAGTTTCTTATTGATTGTCGATTCGAAGACTTAAATAGTTTCTTAATTATTATCGTTCGCCTGAAAAAAACGACTTGGAATACATTAAGTAAGTTGATTTTAACCCATTATACATCCGCAAATACCAGAGACTACTGCTGGGGACTCCTAATTAATGCTAATTTCGATTGTATACTATATATTAGAGGGCGAAACCAAGCGCGAAACTTGATTGTTGAGTTTCTAATCAACCAAAATATGTATTTATACAATTTAAAGCTTCGTAAAAAAAACAACCTATATGGAGCAGACCTGAAAGGAAAACTAGGCTTTCCTTTTCCCCACTGCTCCATACATACCTCATCAGCTCGTCGATTAGCTGTTTGAGCTCCTCGTTGCGCTGACGCGTATGCTCCAACAGCTGGAGCGCCTGTGAGATGCGTCGGGCATTTAGCTCACTCTCGCCGGCCGCCTGCTGACCCTGGGTGTTCGTCAGCTTCACCACAAACACATAGACCAGCGCCACCCAGGCCAAAACGAAGATTATGAGGGCGCGGGCCCACGAATTGGCCGAGGCCCCAAACAGCTGCCGCACCAGCAGCATGGCGGCGGAGGTGTCACGCGGTGAGCGCCGCAGGACTCTGGAATCGGTAGCCTGAAGGCCAACAGGAACAACTGGAGGACAGCTGCAGCAGCAGCAGCAGCAGCGGCAGCAGCAGCTGTGTTAGATGCGGGGCCGTGGACGGAAGGAGGGAGGCTGGGATGCAAGGCGGCCGACAAGTCAAGCTTAACTCCGGTCTGGCCAGCGACAACTGAGGCGATCCACTGACATGGTCGTGGCCGGGGTCGGGGACACTCCACACCTCTCCACTCCAGCGGGGCGGAGGAACGCACACAAATTATGTGGGGGCGGGTACGAGTGCTGCTGCTGCTTCGCTAATTTCACGCTGCTCGCCGCTCGTTCGGCCGACTCCAATTAAGAACGCGAACGCGAACGCGGACGTGGCCGCGTCAGCTGCGGCGAAGGAGGTGGAGGAGGAGGAGGAGGATGAGCCCGATGGATTAGCCTAATCGGATCGGCAGTCGTGGCACTGAGTAGCTGCAAAATTGCTCGCAATTGTGTACGTTCTGTGTTTTCTTTTGATATTAGTGCTGGCCGATACATGCGATAGTATCGATTGGCCGGGTTCTAGCTGCATATCTAGCTATCGATGGGTAATCAATGAGTAGATACAAACAAATTTAAAAAATATTAGAACAAATTAGATTTACTTAAACTATATTAGGTTTAAAAATTAAATATATTAACTTAACTTAGTTAAGGTTAGCTGATTCTTAAGAGAAGAGAGAACCAATTTCATATCCACACAATGATAACAATGTATGTATGTATTTAGTTAATAAAATTAATAAAAATGTGCGTATTTTAAAATGTCAAATGATCTATTAATATTAATTAAATATTTAATGTTTTAATATTTAATTAAAATAGAGCAAATTCTTTTAAACAAAATTAAAAAGTAACGAATATATTTTCATTTATAAAAAAAATAAGTGCTTTGGCCAAAAAATGTATTTCTTTAAAATAAATATATTTCTTGAAAAATTAAATGAAAATCTTTTATAAAAGCTTTGTTTTTAAATCAATATTTTTTACTTAACTTTCTTATTTTACGTTGCGATAAGGGACAGTGTTGCCAGACGCAACCAATATCCTTACCTGAAAGGACAGGCGCCAGTACGAAAAAGTAACGACTTTTCAAAAGCAAAAGGAAAAACTCGTTCAAGACTTCGCTCTTCTTTTACGATCCCGCAAACCTTGAATTCAACAAGTTCTCGGTGATGGCTCTTTTCATTTCAGTTTCATGTCGTGTTCTCTTAATATTTCACATTTTATTTGGACTTATGCTACTAATAATAAAAATGATTATAATTTTGAGATGGTTTTTGTTTTTTTTTTTTGCTTGTTTTTTCCTTTTTTTGTTTTGTTTTTTTTTTGTTCGGAGCCCGATCGATCTGCGAGTTAAGTGGACACATATGTGGGAGAGTCCTCCTGTACGGTGGCCAAAGAACCCGGAGATCGGTCGATCCGAACCAGCGCGCGCGCCGAGGTGCAGCAAAGATGCATTGCTCTTATGTCTGCGCATCGGCCTTTTCGTGGGAATCAAATGAAAAGTGATTATCGTATAAATTATAAAAAATTCAGTATATGTATAGTTTAAAAAAAAATGTTGTACACATAAAATATAAATTATATTATTACAATTACGACCACAAAAATTTCTTAGTGTTGAAATGAGTTGTTGTTTTGCTTGTGTTTCTTCCGATTGTTATGTGTGTTGTGTGTTGTGTGTGGTGTGTGTTGTGTGTTGTGAGTGTCGTCTGAGAGAGAGAGAGAGATAGAGAGAGAGGGAGAGAGCGCGGGCGGAGGGGAGTTTGTTGTATATGCGACAAGTTTTGATTTATTGTTAAATTTAAATACTTAGGTATATAAATTAATGTTCGGCTTTTATTATAATTATTGTTTTCTTTTTTTCCATCCGTTTAAGATTTTCTCATTCTTTTTTGTTTGTTTTTTTTTGTCGTTTTTTGTTTTTATTTTTATTTTGTTTTTTATATTTGTATGTAGTGGGCAACTGCGGCATTTGTAAATTTCTTTATATTTAAATGTTCATTTTGACTGTGTAAAAATATCGATTTGCATCTGATTTTGTCTTTATAGTTATTTGCTTTTCGTTTTAATTATAATATTACGTTACGTTAGCGCTGCATTCTGAACTCTCTGCATGGTATAGTGATCGGATTCTTCTGTTTCTGTATCTGCTCCTGCTCCTGCTGACTCTGATTCGGATTCAGATTCAAATTCTATATCTTGGCGCGCTTCCTTCCATCCTTCTTTCCTTTCTTCCTATGCTATTGAAATGTCTCTGTGGTTCTGCCTGCTGGATCGGGATCTTCTATTCTCATTTGCTTTGATCTGGTCTGTTCTGTACTGTTCTGTTCTCTATGTGGCGTTGTGTGTATGAGAGGGTGTTGTTGTGTCGTGTTCTGTTGTGTTGTGTGTGTGGGGGGTGTGTTTGCGTCTCGTTATATGTTGTATATATATATATAATATATTATATGTATGTATAATTAGTTGCTTAATAGTAGAATTTCTTGAATGTTGTTGTGGTAAAGTGTAGGTAATGTTGCTCTATGTCTCTATGTCGACTCAACTGCACTACATACATATGTCTTTCCACCGGATACACGGCGAGCCGAACCAAACCGAACCGATCCCCGTTCCCGTTACCGTTTCGGCTTCCGTATTCGTATCCGTTTTCGTATCCTCGCCTCCGACTCATTCACTGCGCAGTTTCTTTAACTCCGGCGACTTCTCACCAACACCAACACCGACTCCGACTCCGACACCCACTCCTCCACCGGCGTTATTCAGCTCCATCTCACAGTGCAGGGCTGTGCGCTTCTGTCCAATGGCTGGCGCCGGATCGGCGGCTCCCGCTGACGCCACCGTTTCTGCCGATTTGTTCGCCGCCAGCTGTTGCAGTTTGCTATCCCTCGCGATGCTGTTGCTGCTGTTGCTCTCGTCTGCCTCAAGCTCCGCCTCATTCTCTTCATCCTCGTCCAGCTCTTCCTCCTCTTCGTCCTCTGCCTCATCTTCCTCATCGTCGGCCAGGACGCCGTTGCCATTGCCATTACCATTGGCTGCGGCAGTCGCTCCCGCTTTTTTTGCGGCCTGTGGTGATGTGGCTGCTGGAGCTGTTCCCGCTGCTGATGCTGTTGCTGCTGCTGGTGCTGGTGCTGCTACTGCTGCTGGAGGAGCCACCTGTCCATTGTTGGTTATCTGCTTGTTGTTATTGTGGGGCTGGCTCGGCGTCTCTGTCTCTGTCGGATTCGGATTCTGGGTTGTGGGCTGTGCAGGAGTCAAGTCGGTCAGGCTGTTGCCTTTCGGCGGCGCCTCCAAGTTGCTCTCTGAATCAGAGGCAAGGGGAGTGCCTCCCAGGCCGATTCCGATGCCGATGCCGATGCCAATGCCCATGGCTATCGGCTCACCATCCTCCGTGGATGTAGTGGCCGTTGTCTGTGTGGTGCCATCGTTGTCGTCGATAATTGGCTCCTGGGAGGTGGAATCATTCGACACGAAGTTAGAGTCGCCGTCTTGCAGAGCGGTACCTACAGCACCGGTGTTGCTGTGGCTCTTGGCCTCACCCACCTGCAGTGGCGTCAGTGCAGCCGGATTGGTATTCTCGTTCTCCGTCTCCGATTCTGTAGCAGTGTTGCGACCACCTGGGGTTGAAATTAATACGAGGTATCAAGTTAAGCAGCTTCAGTAAATCATAATCACAGCCGGAAAGCAGTTTCTATCAGAATGCGACGCCAGCGAGTCCGTTTACTTTACAGAGTATCTTCAACGATACCATCTAGATTCCTCAGAAGTCTCGATATAGTAACAGAATAGCTTGTAATAGAAGTATATTACTTTCTGCAGTTCAGTAAAAATTCAACAAAAGCTAGACATCTGAAGTAATAAACAAACTTCGATAAGCGAACTGGAAAGGTTCCCATGAAATATAGGAATCGTATATCAGTTAATTGAAACTGGCGGAGTTATAGACAAAAGCTTCGCATTAACAATATATATATAAACACTTTGAAGTTCAGTTGTTACGATATCTAAACCTGCTCGCTCCTAGCTCAATTTCTTACAAACTGGACAGAATCGTTCCAAATAAACTTTTCGTTTGAACAATACAATAAACAGATGGACTTCTAGAAAGCGATTCAATACTTTTGGACTCTACATGCATTCTGAGGAACTGCTCCAGCTGCAGAAACGGATTTGGATTTGGACTCACCTGCACCCAGGCTCTCGTCGTCCAGATCGACGGCCACGCCGTCGTTGGTGTCATCGCCGTCGAGCACCTTGCTGCTGCTGCCGTTTGTGCTGAGTGTGGCGGTCCCGGTGGCATTGCCAGCTGCTGCACCGGCTCCCGGCGGCGGCATATCGTCAAGCATCTCGGGACTGAGGTCATTGGCCACGTAGTGCGACCAAAGGGCCAGCTCAACGCGATGCGGCGACCAGTGCGGCGTCTCGCCGCCCACCTCCGCATTGAGGCGCTCCACTGTGGCCTGGATGTGGTTGACGAAGTTGAGGTACTCCTTGGTGGTATAGTCAATGCCCTCGATTCCCGGTATGGCCATTAGGCACTCGTCTGCCATAAAGGGGGCTGAGTCGGGTGCGGCGGCCGCAAGCAGGGCAGAGGCCATGGTGGTGCCTACGCCCTTGAGGTTCGATAAAGCTGTGATCGCCTGCTCCAGATTGGGCAGCTTGCGGAAGGCCTTCTTCGTCTCCGCGATGACGGCACGCGGTGTGTTGACCTTGACGAGATAGGAGAGCTGCGGATAGAACTTGCCGCGCGTCTGCTTCCACTTCATGGTCTGCACCAGCTCGTCATACACCATGTGCGCATCCTTGCCGCGCGCCTTGATGAGCTTGGGCAGCTCATTCTGATACCACTGATCCAGTCGGATTAGCTCCTGTGGCTTCTTAGAGCGCTTCTCAGCCTTCAGCTTGAGCACCTGCGGGTACATTTGGTAGCAGTACTCGAACTGTGTGGTGCTACCGTTCTCAAAGAACGACACTGTCGCTTTGCCGTTGGACATCTTGGTGTGCGTGTTCGTGTGCGGATCCTGGCTGGATCTGCCTGGCTGCTAATGATGCTTGCTGGTTGTATCGCTGCGCCCAGGACGTTGGCTGGGCTGCTGCTTCTGGTCCGCGCCCGGCTTTCTTGGTTTGCTCGCTGGCTATCGCTCCCGCTTATCGGTCGCTTGCTATCCTCTCCGCTCCAAGGTGCTCCTGTCAATGTACTGCTGTGGATTTCGGTTCGCATCCAAGAGTCGCCGGCGAATACGAAGAGGAAGAGGCGCAGAGACAGAGAAATGGAGAGACGGTGAGCAGGAGAGCGAGAAGAGGGAGCAGCCAAAGCAAGCGAGAGAGAGAGGAAGAAGAGAAGACACACAATTAGGTTTACAGTTACAAATGCAAGGGGGAGGCAGCAGCTGTATATATGTAGGCTTTGATTTGGCTTCGATTGATTACTGTTAATGCTGCTGCTGCTGCTGCGTCTGTTATTTGTTGTATTTACTCAGCCTGATAATCGCACTCTATTCGCCAAAAATATTCTTCTCGCTTCCACCGCCGTGCACAACACACAAATCGAATTTTTACAGTGTCGTCTCGTCGTCGTCGGGTTCTTTTTGGTCCGCCACACACACACATTCGCACCTATACACTCGCACGCAAACACATACTCGCACACACCGCACTCTCGCACACCCAGAGAGAGCACACAACCAGCAGCACACATACACATAGCACTCGCACACTTATGCAGGAGCAGCAAGGCAGCAGCAGAAAATTTCTTTTTCATATAAGTTTTCGAAAAAATACGAACGCGAGCAATAATAAACGAATGCTTTGCTTTTTTCATACTTCTTGTCTTTTGGCACCGCAGAGAAGAGTAGGAAAATAGACACACACACTCGCGCACGCACAGCTAGCTGAAACACATCATTCAGTTCAGTTCAGATGGCGATTGAACAGAACACAAGAGAAGAGAGAGGAGGCGACAAGAGAATGTGTAACAACTTGCCGTAGCCGTAGCCGTTGCCGTTGCCGTCGGGACGTTTTGCGTTAACGTCCGCCGACTTACCTTTTGATGCCACAGCCAGCATGTATTTGGTTAGTTGCCGCCAGTCTTCCGTTCCGTCCACATCCAAACAACTACTCCACAACTTTGCCTTTGCCTCTGCCTTCGCCTCTGCTTCTTCTTTCTGCCTGCCTGTGCTGTGTCGCTCAGTAACAGTGGCGGCGCTGCCAACATTTAAGGGGGTTGTTTCCACATTCACGTTGCACGAAACACGTTGCGCAGGGTTACCTCTCTGGCACAGTAACGAGGCTCTTATGATCCCAAACAACAAACAATCAGTAAATGTCGCAAAATGATGAACTACATATTATTTAAAAAATTAATTACAATTTCGTCAATATTCAATAATACACCCGACTTAAAAAAAAATATATATATATAACTTTAGTTTAGTATTATTATGCTTGAAGTTTGCACAATAATTGTTTCAAACATTAACCAAACAGGCATTCTGACAGCATGTTACAAGTCCAGCGACTGCTTGGTATTCAAAGAGTCCCTACTTAACAGTCAACTCGTGTTCGATCCCCTGTAGCTACGCCCCAGAAGTCACTCAGTTCGCCTATCGCTCGTTTGCTTTCGGGTCTGTTCGCTTTACCGCCATCATTCGCTGTGGCCTTTTTTACCCTATTCGTCGTCGCTTGCTCGCAACATAGCAGCTGCAATTTAGCTGTTTTCTTTTCTGCCTTTGCCTGCGATTCGCTCATTATACCCTTGCAGAGCGTATTACAATTTCATTCAGATGTTTGTAACACAGTAGAAGGGAGGTATCTGCAACCCTATAGCAATGTATTTATACATATGTATTCTTGATCACCTTCACCTGGTATATGTAGGCAAACCGGTCTTTTTTCATACCGTATACCACCTTTCGACTTTCACAAGTTTATTTTGGAGATATGTATATATCGGACGCGAATGCGATAACCTAGATCACTTTCAGGAAGGATCAGTCTTTGTTTAGAGAAGTTTTCTAATTTCGATATCATTTATATATGAATATGTTCATAAATAATTATTCTAATTGCAAGGGTATTACAAATTCAGCTTGACGATGCTAGCTTTCTTTCTCGTTATACCCTGTGTTCGCCTCGCTGCTCACACCGACACACACCAGTCCATTTTTTGCACGAAAACGAAAAAGCAGTGTAAGCGGTCTGAAAAGCTAGAAGCAGTGTAAGAGGGTCGAAAATGCAAAAAGCAGTGCATCTGCTTGCTGCATTTTCCGGCATTATTCCGTTGTAAATACCAGTTTTCGAATTAACAATACGTGGGTATTTAAAAATCGAAAATAATTTGGTATAGCTTATCTCTTTGGCATGCCTATATGTATTATTCATTGTTTATACAGGGCATAAATTTACAACCCCCTTCCAAGTCGACTACGGCTCTGTGTGTGATTCGCATGTTTTTGCGTTGTGCCTGTTTCGTCGTTCACGCTCCAATACACGCAAGCAGCTGTGTGTGTGTTTCCACAGAGTTGCCAGACTAACGCTTAAAATAAAACAAAACAAAATCACGCGAAAAGCGATGCCGGCCTGGTGATATGTGTAATTATTTCTAATATTTTTATTAATTTTCTGGTCAAGAATAATGGTTACGAGAGTCAAATGTCAATCCAAAAATAAAAGGGAATTGAAATATTTTCTTTGCGATAGTACGACATTATCGATAGCGATAGCGTTGGCTAACAAGCTAAACAACTATTTCATATAGCCTATAAACCCAAATTACTAATTTTTAAGTAGTAATTAAATATTAGTATTGTTATTATTAATTCAATGTTTGAAGATTTAAAAGATTTCTTTAAAAATAAATAATATTAATAAATTAAAGACTGTCCAGCTTGTTTCCCTCTTTTAAAACCGTGTTATAACAGTTTATAAAAGTTTTTGTGGCACTCTACCCAATTTTGTCACCTTTTTTATGACAGCTTTTGAGAGTGTAACCATGTGCGTTTTCTCGACCAGCACTCGGTCACACTGTCGCAGTAAAAAAATTAAATTAAATGCGCTTTCGTAAGTTTGCTCAAGTTTATTCCATTCGCGAAATAACGTCCGTGCCGAAAGGTCTGCGCTAAGCTCCAACTGAACTCAGCAACTAACTAGCGCCACGCGGAAGTCGACCAATTACTGTGTTTGCCGTTGCCAACTACAGAAACTACAGTGAGTGCCTCCGTCCGGCCAATGAGCCCGCTAATGTCGCTAATTCTAGGCAAAGTCAGGGAGAAGTTGCGGGAGAGCGTAAGATGAACTCGGTGTTGTGTCCGTGTGTGTGGATGTGGTTCTGATGATGTGCAAGATAATGATGTTGGATCGGGAGATTATTTCACAAGTTTTCTTTTTCAATAGCACCGAGCATAGTTTCATCTCTTCTTCTTGATTCTCCCCTTTTTTGCTTTATTGGCACGTCCGTCGCACCAACACCAACGCACATCCCTCAGGCACACGCACACAGATGAAGTGTTAGCCGGCAAAAAAAAAATAGCGGAAAAAAAAAGAGAAATGTAAAAAGGGAAACGAAATAAGACGAAAGTATTTGGCGAATCAGAAATATTTCTGATTTGTAATTAATTCGTTAGGCATTCGGCGGCATCCATTACACCGCGAATTGGATGAACGTGCCGAAAAGTTCAATCAAAAAACACGGGCCCAGCAATTTTTTCGGCTAATTTACAATTCTTGGATTCTTCCAGTTCTTTCGTTGTTCCCCCTCCCCCTGCGCCTTGCCCTAACTTTGGCGGCCATTTTGTAGAGTTGAGCTCTTCACGAGTCTCCTATTAATTTCTAAGGGAATTTCACATCTGGAAATTGAAATTACTTTGGAACTTTTGCAATTGCGAAAGCCAGCGTTTAACTTAATTCTAATGAAAATACTATTTTTTAATGATCCTAAAAAAATGCAGTGGTGAAATTGTGACTGAAGAATTTATAAAATCAAATTGAATTTATTCAAGCTTAAATTAAAATGATTTATTTTTGACCCACTGTAACGCTTTTAATTATTTTGCAGACACATTTTTTGTAAAAACCATGGTTTTTAAGAAGTAATAAAAAAATGATCCCATTTTTCCGCTTTTTCCCAACAGATGCCCCAGCTACAGAAGCCCGCTCCCCAATTCTCCGGCACCGCCGTCGTCAATGGTGTGTTTAAGGACATCAAGCTGAGCGACTACCAGGGCAAGTACCTGGTCCTGTTCTTCTACCCACTGGACTTCACCTTCGTCTGCCCCACGGAGATCATTGCCTTCTCGGAGAATGCCGCCGAGTTCCGCAAGATCAACTGCGAGGTGATTGGCTGCTCCACCGACAGCCAGTTCACCCATTTGGCCTGGATTAACACTCCACGCAAGCAGGGCGGTTTGGGCAGCATGGACATTCCCCTGCTGGCCGACAAGTCAATGAAGGTGGCCCGCGATTATGGTGTGCTGGACGAGGAGACCGGCATCCCCTTCCGTGGTCTCTTCATCATCGATGACAAGCAGAATTTGCGCCAGATCACCATCAACGATCTGCCGGTGGGCCGCAGCGTCGAGGAAACCCTGCGCCTGGTGCAGGCCTTCCAGTACACGGACAAGTACGGCGAGGTGTGCCCGGCCAACTGGAAGCCCGGCCAGAAGACCATGGTGGCTGACCCCACCAAGTCCAAGGCATACTTCGAGTCTACCTCCTAAAGAGGCTATAAATCCACCATTGTCGGGACGGGGGCTGCTCCTGGCGAGCAGGAGCGGATTCGAATCGCAACACCCCGTACCCTAACTATATACATACATATATATTCACCCCACTACATATTAATCCTAGAGCGTAGATGAAACACCTGTGAAGCATACCTTTGGCAGAAAGCCTTAAAGTGATTTTTGTGTTGTTTTTAATATTTTTTTGTATTTAATTTCCCTTTTTTGTAATTCACCACAATAAACGATTGTACGGAAGAGAATACGACAGCCAAGCACGTGGGTCTTTATCAGGGGAAATCGTTAGGCGGGCGGACTTTCCCCTCAAACCTCTGGGCTTATCTAGCCGGCAAAACATTTCCACAAACAAAAAAAGGCACTAAGAAATGGAAAAAAACGAAGAAGGAACTGCAAACTTATCACCGTCTGCGGCTGGCAGTGGCGAAATAAAATTATAAACTGAATCAGAATGTTGAGAATGCCCCGGCGGCGACAGTGACGACATCATGTGCCAAGAGGCACTCCAAGAAATAGTAGTATGATTTAGATTTTAACCGATTTTGATAAACTGGCTATATAAATTCTGATTCTGATATTAACTAACTTTGCACAGGCTTAGTTTATATAAGATTCCATTTGAATTATGGATGGAAATAGATTATATCTAAGCTTAAAATATTTGCATTCATTGAACCAATATTTATTAACAATTATATGACAATTTGGTTGACAAATCAAAGTTTAAAAAACTCATAAATCAGCCAAAAAAGCATTAATTTTAATTCGGAAAGCGGTCCTATCTTAGTTTTTATGAGATTAAATAATCTGCTTACTCAATTTAAAAATTTTAACAAATTTTAAATTTGTCAAATTTTTTGTCAATTTTAATGATGTAACCCCTTATAAAATTTTGAAAAAATTTGAAAATTTTTATTTTCAACTAAACTTGTCTAGATCGATTCTCCTGTTGATGCTGATCAAGAATATATATGATTTATAGGGTCGGAAATGACTCCTTCACAGCGAAACAAGCTTCTGACTAAAATAATTATACCCCAAAAGGGTATAAAAATCTTTCATGTCTTAGGCTTCATTCTTAGAATTTTTATAATCACACCTGGTTTTATCTAATCTTAATCTTTTAACTAGGAAGTCTGGAATATTTAACATCAATGATTCATAAGATGATGGCGAAAAAGTTTGATAGGAAATTGAAATTAAGAGACAAAAGACTTTTATAAATCATGATTTTTAAACAGTGATCCCATAGTTTGCTATATGCTCATATTATCCACTAAGTTTTGACTGATATTTTCCTGCAGTGCATCGAATCCAGCTGATATAACGGCGGTGACACAGTAACCGAGTGCACATTCCCGTTCTGATCCAGTCCCGCCAGCTGCCTTTTTCAATGTTAAGTGCAAGCGAGAGTCGTCTGGTCGACGTCGACGTGGATTGTCTTGCATATTAAGCGTGTCTTGAATCTGTATATATATACACATATATATCTATATATGTTTAGTTTTGTAATAGGTGTGAGCTTTCGCGAGCCCGAACCCGGTTTTGAGCCCCTCACCTTAGTTGAGGTTCAACTATTACGTGTATGCGGCTGGGTGGCTTCTTCGGTGGATGGAATCGTATCAGATCTCTCCACCACAGAAACTAGTTTCTCCTATATACACATACATACATCTGTACGTAGCTACGACCCAGCTGCGGGGCACTGAAAAGCTTTAGAACGTACGAGAACAAGAAAGAGTAGAACCCTTTTCCCAGCGATCGCTGCTGCACACGTTACGTAGCTTTTTCTATTGGCTATTTTCTTGTTTATTACTTTTTTCAGTTTTACCTGACTCCGGGTATAACCGACTGACTGGATGGCTCATTCCGGCAGCGTTATGTCCACCATTATCAGTCTACTAATTGTGCTTGTTGCCCACGGAAACAGCCTGCCTCTCACCTCACCACCAAACGGCGGAGGTCAAGATAATAGCACTTGGGCACGAAGCCCACGATTTCCTGATCATTTCTCTGTGTAATTTGAGAATATAGAGAAACTTAACTGCATAGTAAATCATAATTTAGGTACTTAACTTTAAGTTAAGCATTTTATTTGTTTGAAAAGTAAGTTGTAACTACTTTTCTATCATATTTTAAGATAGTATTGTACACCTATTCAGTTTTAAAGATATTAACCTATATATATTCACTTTAAAAGGTAGTATTTGCTATATATTCCCCAAAGTATAGGGCAACCAGGTGTTGCTTCTTGGTAACTTTATAATTCCTTAAACGTTTCTACCTGAGCTTGTTCGCCAACTTGTACAGAAAACGTTATATTCATATTCATCAACCCAGACCCAAGTCAACCTCTCGACAGCTGCAAAAAATGGAAATAGAAAGAGATTGCCTCTCAGCCTCTGCTGAATCATTGCACTGAAATCGTTCGATCTCTCGGCTATGATGAGACCCCGATTTCTATGCCCCTCCAGGGGCCCCAATTTGAGGGCGTTGCAAATGTCATTATTCGGTGACTTTCAATATAACGAAGCTCTGATTCGATTGGAAATGAAATTGCCATAGAAATTGGGTGGCGAAATAAACGCACTTGCTCTAATTAAATTCCCACAGAATGATGCACATACTGTTTTCCAATCTGCTAATAGTCGTAGGAAGTCATCACCCGGAAAATGTGTACATAGTATGTACTACATACCATATAACAAAAAACAGTTGCGGGCAATAAAATACAAGTTAATGTGCAATATTAACTTTCAGCTAATCAGCAGAAGTATAATTAAATAGAATAGAATATCAGTAAATATGGTAATACAATGCAATAATGAGGAATTATGCCATTTTCAAACCCTTACAGGATTCTATAAATTCTCAAACATAAATATTTAAAAAGGGGAAAATAAATAAGTACTACTTTTTTGACAGGCACAATTTATTTGCTTGGATTCCCAACTATGCTGTAGTGCTGTCTGTAGCGTAATTTGATTATTTTATAGACTGATAACGGGGTAATCGGGGGGTGCTCTAGTGGTGTTAGTGATATCAGTCGGAGTGGGTCGTGCGGAATGACATGGCCGGTAATCGGAATCGAGGGACTGACTGGCAAAAGCCCCTAATTCAGACGGGGTTCCGCCATTTTGGTCCCATCCAGCCCCAACGACCTTTCTAAGGTTGATGGTTGCCGATAAGCAAAAGGGAGTCGGGGAGTGTATTGGCCAAAAAACAATTATTAAGGCAATACAACATGGCAATGGTGGGCTGATAACGCCAGATAGGTACTGCGGACTCATCAATTATTCCTATTTTAGGTCACACGCAAGGCCGATCGATAATCATCAATATTTGGGCAAATGGCCTGTGGACAAGAAACCCATTTTGGTTTGGATTATAATCTAATAATTAAAGGAATTAAACTTCCAACAGTTTTATCACAATAAGCTGCAAAGTATGCTATGCTTTTTACATTACAGACCTGCGCACGAATAAATAAATGTTGGAAAATACGCGCAACGTATTGTGCTGTTTATCAGCACTCTTTGTCTAAGAGTATTTCCAACACTAAAGTCGACAGCTACGCGCCAGTTTTATGACATATTTGAATTGATAATAAATGATAAAGGTTATGGTAAAATATTCACTGCGAGCAAGTCTCTCTGCGGTTCACTTTTACAAAGTCAAGTACAAACGTAAGAAAAAGCTATCATCATAATCTAGTACCCATCAAGTAACCTATACTATTATTTGTTTCAGGCTGAATACTATTCTTCACAATAACTCTATTATAATAAATAATTATTATTATACAATCAATAACCCTCTCTTTGTTCAAATGAGGCAAATCTAATCTTTTAAATCCAATAAAGTTGTCAAGGTAATATAATGAAAAGATGTACAATTGTAAGGCTGTAGTTTCAACAAGATCTCTAAGCTAGTTTTCAATTGATGGTGTTTAAACATCATTAAAACATAGTATTTACAATAACATAAGGATTTTTCGTCAAGTCTCTAAGGGATTCCATTCTAAATAACCACAATTTGCTGTTGATAACTAAAGTTTTACCTATAAACTGATACAATCGCAAGTCCTTGGTTACATTTTTAACTCTTCTGCTACAACTCTTCAACTATTTGTATAAACATATAATTCAAGATATAATTTTATATATAACCCTAGGATATTCTAATGTTTGCCTTGCATTATACATTCCCATAGAGTTTCCTAACTTTACAATGTACAAACTGCGAGTTCTCTATACAAAATAACATTCTATGCATGCCAATGCAGCTTCCAAGCTTCACAATATGCCATCAACAAGTTATTTATATAAGGTAGTAAAGAATTCTTCCATAAATCCTAGCTTCCCCGAGCACAACCTTGTAGGTTAAAGCCGTTTCCTTTGCCTTGCAAATGTTAGATAAGAGCGCCTGACATCATTTGAAATGGGTAGCCTGTAATTACAAGTTTGATGATTAATCCATTTCATAAAAGATTAAAAGAAATGCCTCAAAGATTCAAGAGTACTTAGACCTTTGTGCAACTACTACCTTTCGGGCTATTACTTAATGTCTCCCAATCACTAGTTACCCCTTCGCATGGCAGTGACTCCTCACGTATGTAGGTAGGTTCTGCGGCTACGGCAGTAACCGCATGGCGTGGTTTATTTGCTGCTGGAGTAGCATCGCCGTCGAAATGCTTCCCTTGAAGTATTACACACTTCACATACACACACAGTTGGGTTTTATGTTTTACAGATCGATTTACTGTTTCATCAATTGGTTGTTAAAAAAAAAATCGTGTACTAAAATTATGTATCAATCATTTTATTTCGCGTTTCTTTGTAAACATTCATTGGCTGGATGTCTGTCTGTCTGAATGAATGAGTTTCTCGCCCTTGGCTTGCATACAAAACGTAGCTGAATGTTAGATGGGGAAAGGAAGGCGGCGCACGTCGGAGAAATAAAACAACATTCTACATATCCATCAACCACTTCTACTCGCTCGTCCGCTCGCAATGCCCGGGTCTAGAAGAAGAAGCCGAGAATCTTGCCTCCCAGATGTTTTCTCCTGGCCTCCTCGTGGTCCATGATACCGCCCGAGGTGGTGAGCACAACGTAGCCAAACTGACGGGAGGGCAGCAGATTGTTGGTCCACTTCTCGATGTCATTGATGGGGACATCAAAACGGGGCGAGATGACGCCGCACTTGTTCAGGCGACCGGTCAGATTGACCACAATCTTGCCAGAACGGTGATCGTCGACGATCTCGAACTCGCCAATGTAGCCATGCTTCATCATGACGGTCAGGAACTTGATGATCACCTTGGAGCAGGGACGCAGCAGCACCTGGCGCTTGCCACGCTTCTCGGCATTGTTGATGCACTTCAAGGCATCGGCCAATACGTTCATTCGCACCATGGCTGCAAAAGGGTCAAGAGAATGCGAGAAATGAGTTGTAGTTGTAACTTTCAGTTCTTTTTCTGCCTTTTCGCCAAGATTTTGCAAAAGGCGGCTGGCGGCGAAGCACGTGCAAAAAGTAGAGTACAAAACCAATGCAGCTTTGCTGTTGTGTGTGTGTGCGTTTCTGCCTGTAAACAACAACTACTGTCAGTGTGTGTGCGTGAGTGCGAGTGGGATTTGGTGAGATTTCTGGGCGGAAAATCCTTTGAATTTAGCCGGTTCCCTGTGACAATCCCATTTCTGTGCAATTTAAGCCTTTCGGCAGCACTTTTACATGACTCGCACACACACTGAAAGACACACACACACACACATACTGGCTGAGTGGCTCGCACTAGCAGCAACAACAATCTGGGCGGCAGAGCAACACAAAAACTCCGGCCCATAACTTCTCGCATCCAGAAAAAAATATATAATTAACACAGTAACAAAAAATATAACTCAAAAAAATATACGCATATGCAGTCCCTCGGTTCGTTGGGATTGTTTACACAGCGCAAGTACAACAAGTCCAATATTAGCACAGTAAAAAAATATATATGTAATAAATATAACTTTTTGCACGTAATTCGCCGGCGGCCGCCTTAAATCTTTGCCGGCTGTGATGGTGGTGACCATGGGTCAGCCATTGGCAATAATATTTTATACAAATCACTTAATTTGAACGGCGATTACCTAGGATTGGTTTGCAAACACAAATTTACACGACCGCGAACGTATCGGAAAAGAGAAAGAGGAAGTTCGAAGCGGCCTAGGTGACAGTTGACAGCTGCCAGGGTTGCTTTGACAGCCGCAGGGTTGCTCTGCGAGCCAGTGTTGGTCAGCGGGAGGCCCTGTGCAACACTCGATTTTTGACATTATCGCATTTCGGCACAACGGTCACATTGTAATTTTTTATAAACAAAAACAAAGTTCGAAATATGTCGAAACAGTGAGTTATTTGCATATATTGTGTTGTTCAAGTGATTTTAATGGAAGATTCAATCCACAGGTATGGCCTCATTATACCGGGGCAACAGAAGACGGCTCCCGTGAAGACGCCGGCTGCGTCGAAACCCGCCATTTTCAACGAAAGTAGCTCCTCCGAGAGCGACGACGACCCAAAGGCCCCGCAGCTAAAAGCAAAGGGTCCCAGCGTGTCCAGCGGTCCCAGCCTGATGGAGCGGCGCGTGGCCCGCCGGCAGCAGGAGAAGGCGCTGGCCGAGGACCCAACTATTTTCCAGTACGACGAGCTGTACGACGACATGGATCGCGGCCGCGAAGAGGCCAAGCAAACCAAAAGCCAGGAGCCGCGCAAGCCCAAGTACATTGGCCGGCTGATGCAGCATGCCGAGCGGAGGAAGATGGAGAGGGAGCTGCGCATCGAGCGGCAGGTGCAAAAGGACCGCGAGGCCGAGGGTGAGAAGTTCAAGGACAAGGACACCTATGTCACGGCTGCGTACCGCAAAAAACTTGAGGCAATCCGCCAACTGCAGGAGCAGGATCAGCGGGACGAGTATCTTGAGGCCATTGGTGATGTTACCAAGCAGAAGGATCTAGACGGTTTCTATCGGCACCTTTACGAGCAACAGCTGGGCACCGACACCGCCGATAAAGATGTGATGAAGCCCAAGACTGCCCCGTCCACGGAGGAGGTCTCATACAAGCCCATCAAGGCGGAGGCCCCCAAGCATAGAAGCTACCGGCAACGCCGCTCGTCCGAGGATGAAGACTCCAAAGCAAAGTCAGGCGAGGGTCCTGCATCCGAAGATCAGACGGAGGCCAAGCCAGCTCAGGCTCATCTGGCCAACAATATAGATGCCGACTCTGACTTCAGCATAGATGACTCCAGCGACGAAGAGGAGCAGGAGGAGACTGAGAAGACTAAGGATAAGCCTCAATCACAGGGCAAAAATAAGGGGGAAAAAGAAAAGCAGCAGGCCAACGGAAAAGCCAGCAAAGAAAAGGAACCAGCAGAAGCAGGAGTAAAGGATAAACGCTCGAAAGAGAAGAAGGCCAATGGCGAAGCCCACAAGGATAGGGATGCCGATGCGGATGCGGATGCCGATACCGATGCCGGAAGTGAGAAGGATGAGAGGGATCTACCCGTACCGACAGTCACCAAACCGCCCGTTGACCGCACTCTCATTTGGCGCAAGAGGACCGTGGGCGAGGTCTTCGAGGCGGCATTGGCACGATACCATGAACGTAAGCGGGCACGCCAGGGCTAAAACGCATCCAATTAAAGTTCGAGTTGATGGAAGAGCAAACAACTGATTTCTGTATTGTCTCCTTATTATGCTAATTTCAATTTGTCTCCCCCGCCGCCGCCACCGCCGCCGCCGCAGCTACTCATAAATTATTTATGTGTGTGCCGACGCTCTCAGCGAAACCCTTTTGGTGCAAATATTTTGCATAAGTTGCAACAGAGGAGTCGAGTCCCACACTTTGTCTCTAAGCAGGGGGAAAAAAGGAAAACAAGAAAATGAAAATGAAAAGTACAAGCCATGACGGATGGGAACCGCAGGAAAAGTGTGGGGGCCAAAACGCTAAAGGATGAGGAAGTGCCTGAAGAAGCAGAACGCGAAGATATTCCATTTATTTTGTATGACGACGACACGACGACGACGACTACGACGACAAGTAGAGAGCCAAAAAAGAAACTAGAGCATACGGTAAGCTCGAAGGAACGAAGAACAGGATACCCCATACAAGAGGTTACTACAAAGAGTCCTTCTTCCTTTTAAATTCCCTTTCAAAATTGTTAACATATTCTTATTGTCTTGGAAATAGTTATTTCAAGTCCTAGGAAACTCCCAGCTAAGTTTAAGTTATTCTTTAAAGACATTAAAGTCCTGATACCTAAATATTCTTAATATTTTCCCCACCACTGTCCCCGTCTGTGGGAATTCCCAGCTTTGATTCTCAATGAAATTAAGTCCAATTGACTGGAAATTTTCTTCGACTTAGGACAAATTCCACTCGGACATAAACAATATTTTTTGTGTTATGCTCCTCCTGCCGGGGACCGATTCCTGTCCTCTGTGACAGCTGGAGGATACAAGTAGCCATCGGAACCTTAAAGCCCCCCAGTAGTAGCAGCAGCAGCAGCAGCAGCAGCAGCATCATCGTAGTATATGTAGTGTAAATAAAAGGTGCGCTGGGCAAAAATGGACACAAAAAAAAAAGAAAATAAAATAAAAATCCATCCCTATTGATTTTATAGTCTCGGACTCGGGACAAATCCGCGTTGAAGCAGACAGCTTATGGAGAAATGACTTTTTAGGTTCACAAATATCTCGCCCACTGAGCCGGAAACTCCTAATCCAAGTTCTAATACCCTCTGCAAGGGTATAAAAACGGGAAAAGCACGGAGAAACTTGCCAAACGCCCAAATAACAAAGAGCCAACTTGGCGTTAGTTTATTTTTTTCCCCCTTGCTGTTGTTGCTGTTGTTTTTTCTTTTTGTATTTTTTTTTCGCCATTCTCTTTGTTTTTGCAACTTTGTTGTTGCTTCATTTTGCCGCAAATGCTGGGAAATCCTTTTGGAAAATAGGTGTGCCCGCGCCATAAAAGCGAAAACCAATGGCCAAGGGAGCGGAGCGCAGAGAAGAATCAGTATGGGGAGGAGCAGGAGGAGCAGGAGGAGAAGGAGGAGCAGGAGGAGGAGGAGAGCATGGTGAACGGAAGGCACGGCTGACATGGTTAGGATCAGTGATGGAAGGCCAGCAGCTCCATCTGGTACCGTACAGGTTTAGGTCACCAAAGGTACAATCCTTTAACCAAAAGGATTGGTTCTTGAGAATTTGGTTTCTTATGTTACAATTATCTTTAAGATATTTGTATACCATGAATTCATAGGTAATTCAAATTGGTATAGTATTGTATTTAAGGGATATTTACAGTACCTAGTACTTTAATTCTGGTACACATTCTTATTAATAGGGGTTTTCAGTGATTAAATAAGTACCTTATTTGTTATTGTTATATCTTCTATTAGTGGTACCTTCTATATCTTCTTAATTCCTTCGTGTTGCAAGCTGACAGTGTACCTTTTGAGTACACTCAAGTCAGGATGACTTACGCAGGGCCTATCCCTTTGGCCTGAATGTATTTCCGTAAATTGTCCTCACAAAACAATGGTACCCCTTTTTCGCATTACAATTATTATACCTTGTGGTTTTCCCTTGCAGTTTTCCCATCACTGAAGTTTGAATCCGGCTCCGGGGTCCGGCGCATCGCATTGCAGGCATGGCAACCGCAGTTTGCTCCCGTTCCCGTTCCCGTTCCCGTTCCCGTTCTAGCTTCTCCATCCTAACCACGTCCTTCGTCCTACATCCCGCATCCTACATCCCCGGATCCCAACATCCTAGCACCGGCATCTGCATCTGCATCTGCAGGCCGGACGGAATGTCAAGACGGATATGCTTCGCTTTTGATGTTGCCAACGTGCCTTGCGCCTTGCGTCCTTCGTCCTTCGTCCTTTCTGGCCGTCGTCCTTCGTCGTGAGCGAAATTAATACCGAAATCCATTTTCCATTTGGCAGTCAGCGACCCGGGCCATCGTCATTGCTCCTCTCTCGCTCGCACTCACGGCGCCCCACTAAACGCCTCTCACTCGCGCCTGTACCTGTTTGATTGTGTCATCAATCTCACATGTCGCTGCCGCTTTTTGCTCTCCTTTTTGCATTCCTTTGCTGCCGCTGCTTTCCTTGCCTTGCCTTGCCTTGCCTTGCCTTGCTCCTTTGCTCCTTTGCTCCTTTCTGTTTCTGATTCGGATTCGAATACGGATTTTGTTCTTGCCGTTTTTGTTTATTGATGTGCACGGCTGCAATCGAGATTTGTGCCACATTTTAGGCAAATTAATTCGATGGAAAGGAATGGAATGGAATGCCTGCCATCGCTTTCGTTACAAATCCCCGATCAGCGGGGGAGGAGGTGCAACAGTTCGAGAGTGCAAGAGTGCGAGAGTGCGAGAGTGCGAGTGCAAGGGCAAAGAGTGATTGAAAGAGCGACTGGCAGAGGGAGAGGGGTGTATATAGCCCCATCCCCCTCAAGTTCATGCCGTCGATCGGATATGAGCCGACTAAGAGAGGGAGAGTGAGAGAGCAGCGGTCGTCGTTAGCTTAACGTTTCTAATTGAGTGCTCTCGAGTTGAGTGCAAACATTGCATTTGCACACTGCACACACACACACACATGCACACACACATGCACACACATGCACACTCATATGCGCGACGCTCCCTTTAACCCTTTGCACGTCTCGAGGGTCTGCCGCAGGACACAAGTCGCTTGCTAAAATGAAATTTTCACTTAGGTGACGAATGCTCCCCGCGGCGCTTTTCGTAATAAATTTATTTAGATTTATGCACCCTTTTTACGACTCAAACATGTTTCGCCAAAGTGAGATTCTCACTCAGGCGGCCAATGTTGCGGCTTTCGTTACACTTGGCCATAAACATTTTTTGTTGCTTTTCAGATTTTGGGCAAAGATTTTTGGCATTGCAATTCGCAATGCGCACCTTTAACCCTTTTTTGTCTTCTCACAAAAGTCGCCATTCGCTAAAATTACATTTTCACTTATGTAAGTGGCGAATTTTCGTTTGCGGTACTTTGATTTTTATGGTTTTATAATGGTTTATATCGATTAGGTTAAAAAAAAACAAGAAATGTCGACATATTAATCAATATTTACTATATATTTTTATATGACCATTTTTTCCCTAAATCAGAGCTTAAAAAACTCATAACTCAGCCAAAAAAGCATTAATTTTAATTTGGAAAGCGGTCCCATGTTAGTTTTTATTAGGTTAATAAATCTGCATACTTAATTTAAAATTAAAAAAAATTTGATTTTGTTTTCAAAATTTTTGCAAACTTTAACGATGTAACCCCTTAAAAAATTTTGAAAAAAATGAAAATTTTTTTTTTCAGTCTAAGATAGTCAGATCGACTTGGCTGATCATGCTGATCAAGAATATATATGATTTATAGGGTCGGAAATGATTCCTTCATAGCGTTACAAGGTTTTGACTAAAATTATAACACCCTTGGAAGGGTATAATTTCAGTGAATATTTTTTAAGGATTCATTTCTGTCGGTAGCTTTATAAGCAAAATCAGGGGAGTTAATTTAAATGTGTCTATTATTAATAAGATATTTTCCCTTAATAAATATAAAAACATTTTTTTACAATTATTAGTAACGAATGTTTTACATCTTTTCTTCGGCTCATAAATATGTACCTATCGAATTTGACATAATCTCAATACAATTCGTTACTCATGCAAAGTTCATAGCTCAAATTTATTTGTTTTCAATAAAAAAAGGTAAATAAATAAGAAAAACAAATAGTTGAGAGTAAAGCTCTAGAGATTTCAAGTCGATTGGTTTCGAAAAAATATGCTCTAAATGCTTTGCTGTCAAGGGTTCTTCTTGGAGTGTTTTGTGTCAGAGTTGATTCGTCGTCTAGTTTGATAGTTTGGGTCTCTCGCTCTCCTTCAGATCTCTCGAGATATAACTTAATGGCACTCGAAAGTGTGATTTTCCCTGTCACTTGTGTTGTGTTATGTGTGTGTGTGTGTGTGTACTTTTGTCCTGTTTTTAGGTGTTATGCGAAAAGTTATCCAAACTTTTTCGAATGGCGGCTGGAGGGTTAACCTCATGCAGCAATCGGCACAGCAACCCAGCAGCAACCCAGTGGAACAACAGAGATTATGTAACACTAATTCCATTAACCCCGTTGTGTGGTCTGGTCGTCCTTCGTCCTTCTAGCAGCAAAGACCCCCCCCCCCTCTTTTTGTATGCTTTGCTCGTTGCCTAATCAATTTACGATCATAATTACTTGGCTTTGGTCTCGGTTTTGGGCTTGGCTTTGGCATTTCGCTTTGGTCCTTGCCAAAAACGGCACAGATTCAATCTGGGCCTCTCCTCGGCCTCTCTGGCATCCTCACATCCTCACATCCTCACATCCTCACATCCTTGCATCCTTTCATCGCTGTATCCTTACATCCTCACAGCCGCCGCCCAACGACTCGCTCTGGATACAGAGTAGAGCATGTAGACCAGGCCCAGAGTCGAGTTACGGACCAGGCCAATAGACGCAAGTAAAGGCTTCAAGATTGTGATCATTCACGTGTGAATTCAATTATCAACATTTTCAATGCCCGGCCCCGGAACTGGAGCGCAGCTGGACCTTTGCACCCTATAGGACTAGGACTAGGAGCCGGACACGGACACGGAGTAGGGCCGTCGCCCGGTAGCCGGTATCCGGAGTGCGGTCACCTCACCACCATTGGCGGCATTTAGTCTTGGCCACCATGCCAGTTAGCCAGGGGCGTGGTCGAAAAAGGGGGGAGGGGGCTGATGCATTTGGTGCCTTCGTTGGTAAATTATATAGTGAGAACGAACTGCAAAATATCCTGATAAAAGGAGTACATTTGGGAGATTATGTAGGTGTGGTTTTAAGGTATTAAAATATTCATTTAATTAAATGGATTATGGGTTATGTTTTACACTTGTAGGATTTTTGAGACTTTCAATTTGGATTAATTATTTGCATTTTTAAAGAAATTATTAATATATATTGTGGTATTATGTATCGTATTTACAAGGATATATATGTAACCCCAAGGTTCAAGTAGTTTTATTTTATCTACAAAAATATTTTTGAAATGAGCAAATATTTAAATCTTTTAAATAGTCGTTAGGCTTATATATTCAAGAACATTATTTTATTTTAACATTTCTTTTTAATAATTAGTAACAATTTACTTGTAACTCTTTAAGAAACAGATTCTAATAATAAATAATAATTATAAATTCGGGAACTTTGAAAACGCCAAATGTTTACCTAATTTAAGCTTGAA